GCGTGTGACCTACATGCCCCACATGATGCACAAAACACACATCACCCTGGGAGGGCTTCGGCTCCCCGTGCCGACACATCGTGAGCGAGCTTTGTTAAGCGTCATCCGCTGATGCCATCCCTTGTTTCCCCCCACAGTTTCCTCACCTGCACTTCGCTCGTCCCGCTCCGTTTTTTGTTGAGCGTGTGGGCGACGGATGGTGGAGGGAGAGCAGCGCATGCGGCGTGTGCCACTGGGCCCGCTGGACGGAAGGTGCGGTGATGTCTACGAGAACAAGCATATGTCCGAGGGGGTCCGCGCACGCGGCCCGCATGAGAGTATCACTCGAGTCCTTGAAAGCTGAGCAGCCCCCACTTAAGTGGCGTTACATGATGACTCTTCAATCGACCAATAATCCGATTCGTGAGCACTTCTCATGTATGGTGACAGTTTTATTGCAATGCTTATTGTTGCCTGAATTCCTCTTCTTCCTTTTTTATTATTTGAGCGTGTGGGCGACGGATGGTGGAGGGAGAGCAGCGCATGCGGCGTGTGCCACTGGGCCCGCTGGACGGAAGGTGCGGTGATGTCTACGAGAACAAGCATATGTCCGAGGGGGTCCGCGCACGCGGCCCGCATGAGAGCATCACTCGAGTCCTTGAAAGCTGAGCAGCTCCGTCGGTTCTCTCCCTCCCGTAGCGCCTGTCACCGTGCCTGCCTGCGTGTGACCTACATGCCCCACATGATGCACAAAACACACATCACCCTGGGAGGGCTTCGGCTCCCCGTGCCGACACATCGTGAGCGAGCTTTGTTAAGCGTCATCCGCTGATGCCATCCCTTGTTTCCCCCCACAGTTTCCTCACCTGCACTTCGCTCGTCCCGCTCCGTTTTTTGTTGAGCGTGTGGGCGACGGATGGTGGAGGGAGAGCAGCGCATGCGGCGTGTGCCACTGGGCCCGCTGGACGGAAGGTGCGGTGATGTCTACGAGAACAAGCATATGTCCGAGGGGGTCCGCGCACGCGGCCCGCATGAGAGCATCACTCGAGTCCTTGAAAGCTGAGCAGCCCCCACTTAAGTGGCGTTACATGATGACTCTTCAATCGACCAATAATCCGATTCGTGAGCACTTCTCATGTATGGTGACAGTTTTATTGCAATGCTTATTGTTGCCTGAATTCCTCTTCTTCCTTTTTATTATTTG